AGAGAGAGAGAGAGAGAGAGAGAGAGAGAGAGAGAGAGAGAGAGAGAGAGAGAGAGAGAGAGAGAGAGAGAGAGAGAGAGAGAGAGAGAGAGAGAAACGTACAATATAAGTTATATTCATTACTTACCCTAAATTTTACATTTTGATACATATATATAATCATCTTCTACCCAATCTATTCCAATCAATCATGAGAATTGACATTTGCCATTGAGATGAAATCGAAATTTGTTAAAAGTAATGAGAGATAGTTTCGTAAATATCAGCTTTCAATAACAGTAATTAAATTAGATACATTATTATGGAAGTTGCTAATATTACAAATAAATCAATGATTTTAATTATGCGAAATTTAAGCAGGCTCAGGAGAGACATGGTAGCGCGGAGGATAGAATTCAAAGACTGGAAGCACAATTAGAAGAAAAGAACGCAGAAGTGATGCGTGTTAATCAACGGTTAAAGATGAATGAGGAGCATAACACGCGTCTTAGTACAACCGTTGATAAACTTTTATCTGGTAATTTCGACGCACTATTTTTTTTCTATATCAGATTGTCTTAATAATTGTTTGTGGGATTATAAACAAAAATGATTTAAGTATATATTATATTATTATTATACTGTTCAACAAAAAATTACTTTTTTTTTAGTACAAAAATGAGAATAACAGTTCTTTATAGTTTTTTGGACGCTGAATCCTGAATATGATCCTGTTTGCCAAGTTGCTCTGTCACGTCGCAATTTTAAGAAATTTGCAATTAAAGTTGCAAAAAAAAGGATATTTTAGTATATTTTGGCATAATATAGGTATCTACGATATGTGACATGTTGAAGAAGTTTTATTGTAATCAAAATTAAGTATATTGTTATGACTTTTAATCCTTAAAAGGAATTTGTTGTATATTATGGTTAAAAAGATATTGATTCACATAGCCTGTTGCGTCAAAGTTGACTTACATAGCCATTAAGGACCTATGACATTTTTTTTTAATTATGTTATTCAAACTTAAGGATTTTTTAAGTCGCTGAATATATGTCTTTATTTCAGCTATACGCCAAGAAAGGACTTGGTTTACAATTCCACTTCACACATCCATCCACGCATCAAACAACATTCTTCTTTACAAAACAAGCCGCAATACATTATGATTTACATTATTTACAATCGTTATCTTTTTTGTAGCATTCCTCTCTCCTTTTCCATAATCTATTTAGCACCTTTCCTTTTTCCATTCTGTCATCGCATATATTCTCTAATCGTTCTCTGTTATTCCTACCTATATTCTCAAACCACATACTTGTGATCTTGCACTCGCTTATATAATGCTCTAAATTGTCCCTACCTGACTTACAGAATCTACACTTCGTATCTTTTTCGTCAAGCCAGTATTTATTTGCGTCCTCAAAATTACCGCACCTTAATTTTACCATCGCTCTAATCTCGTCTCCTGTTTTCATTTTATCCAAGTTCGCTTTTAATAAATAACTCGGCGTTTTGTTTGTCGCCTCTATATCTTTGTACCTTGTATTATACCTTGCCTCTACTATTTTACTGTTTATTATTTGCCCTTGA